TCTTCACCATCGTCAAGAAGTTTTAGATTTGATTTACTGATTTTAGTTGAAACATTCATTAAATAAGATGGATATTTATCAATGCAAGATAAAAATACGTATTTTATGTCTTTAGATAAAAAAAATGTACTCCATTTCAGTACACCTCTCTACTCTTGATTGGTATATTTTTTATTTACGTGCTAAATGTGTCACATTTTATATATTCTCCATCTTAATGATAGGTACAGTCTACAAGGTAAGTAAGCTACACGCTACAGGGGATCCACCCTTTGAAAATGGTCTTGAATACGTATCCCCAAGCTAGAAAAGGACAGATTTGAAATCGTATCTGACAAAAACATACCAGTTCTAGTGGGAATCTAAGACTGGAAGCTTTGCATGTAAATGGCTCATTATATAGCATACAATTCTTCGTAGCCTCAGCTTGTACAGTACGTTAAAATATCTGACAACAGCTAGGCGTCACAGAATTTTATACACTCGAGGACAGACGGACTGTACTTACAAGCTCGAAGAACTTAAGAAGATGAACTCTGTTTATCGCCATCGTGTTAGCGCCTGAAACAAAAGAGAATCAGTTACCGGTTTATCTGTACCTCAAGTCTTCAGCCTCTAAAAAAAAAACAAGATGTCTGACTCTTCTTCAGGACTCTTTCATCTAACATTCGCACATCAAAATAAATTCTAAGAGCTGGAGAATTTGAATATAATTCGTGTCTTAACACCAGGGGATCGCGGTAGGTTGGTAAAAAAAAAAACCTTGAGGGCTGATATGTGAGGATAATATTAAAATGGGTACTTTGATGCAGGATTAAGAAAATACATTAATTTTGTACAGGATCAGGGTATAATTTAAAACTTCTAAGACTTGTATTTAAAATAAGATATGAGGTTACAGATTTCGCGTATTATTTAGTTGGCATGTGAACTGTCATACGTGGTATACATTAATATGCATGTGACCACATGCGCCCACCACGAGAGAACACGCCCGATCTGATTAACGCGTAAACACTTTCGTAATAATAAAACCAAACACTCGTGCGCGCGCAGCTGATGTGACGTAGGGCGTGATCGTCTACCAACACGAGAATGGAAACCCCTAATTAAAATTAATGTTTTGAGAACTGTGAGATCAAACGTCGACCCAATTCGGTTCTCACTTAGACTGGACAATTTCAATGACCGCTTTAGATTAGTTCGTAAATGATATATATTTTTTTGGTTGTCAATTATTTACTTGAGTAAACGTAAGGTAATATAGTTGCGTCATATTGTGAAACTATGTATTTAATTAATTATTCGGTTTTTGTCCGTCTAATCACAATTCAAATATCATTTTATGTTCCTCATCGAACAATCGATTTACAATTGGAACATCTTTTTACAACATGTTTCGGTTTCTATATAAACCATCTTCAGGTGTAAACGTGACAAATAACTGCACCAATTGATCATAGATTAACATTTAATACAGTATTAATTAGTTATAATTAATCGAACGTTCAATTAAATTTTCATTTTGCAATTTTTTTACCAACGTAATTCAAGACACTTAAACGCTCCAATTTCACACGGGTTTAGACACAGGTCCTTAAGGATAAGAATTAATGCACATCAAACTGTCCATACTACACACTACACAGAATAATTGGGTTTTGTGTTGGTTGTTCATGATCCAAATTAAAAACCAGGATTTCATACTACACGTCACTAAAGCTATCCCGCTGCACGCCAAAGAGGCGCTTAGGGGTAGAGGCTAGAAGGAAAGTCCTTTGCCTCCGCTGTGTATTGAACCCAGGTCCGTGAGAAACTGAAATCCTACAAACAGTTCACATCTTCCATATTCCCGTTCACTTTCTCAAAACGAATATAATAAAATATAAAAAAAACTATAATTTTACGCGCTGTTTTGCATAAATGTGAAATCTGGTATATCACGTTTAGGGGAAAAAAGACAGAACAGGGTGCTCGGGGGGAATATTTGGACCAAATAGGGATGAATTATTAGGAGACTGGATAAAACTACATGCTGAAGAACTCTAAAGTTTGTGCTCGTTTTGAAATTTTATTAGGGTGATAAACCAAATTGCGACGAGATGGTCTCAGCATGTAGCACGCACGAGATTAGATCTGCGGACATAGTTTCAGTGGGAATGCCTGAAGAGAACAGGGTAAAGTGTTGATGTTTAGAAACCGCCACGGTGGTCTAGCGGTTAGAACGCTGGCCTTGTAATCCTGGGGGTCTCGGGTTCGATTCCCGGCGGCGCCCGAATTTATAACTTGTGTTGGGCAAGGCCGTGGTCTAGGCAACACGGAGTTTTCCTCCGTGGCATCCCAACAATTACTCCATTCACACACAGAAGAAGGCAATGGCAAACCACTTCTGGATCATCTGCCAAGAACGTATATGAACAGGTCCCAGTCCGAGAAAAGGATGGAAGGATCCTGTTCATATGGACCTGTCGTCAGACAGAACACTAAATAAATAAATATAACAGCTATAATCTTCAGTCAAGAATCTTTTTATATATATAACTGATAGTGTGTGGTGTACGTAGCGATCGGATTCAGGACGTGACCTTTTGGTCATCCGTACGCGAACAGACATCCTAATAAATACAATTTAAGGGACGCGCCACTTAGACCGTTCTTGTAGCGAGATAATCCTCAGACTAACTTTCTCTGGAGGGCATGACCATTGCTAAACTGTGTCTGCAGTAACGAGAATGCGTTTAGGCGGCTTCGTTTGAGACCACGTAAAAGGATTGCCACTACAATATGATCGCCCGTTGTTTCCATGACCTACTTTTATCATAACGTTCTATGGCCCCTTGACCTTATATAGCTCTCTGCCGACATTTATCTTCTAAAGCAACACAAAACAGACATGCATACAAACCGTGGTATCGGTTTCAGAATTACTTCGCCAAAATCACGAATTCCATTTCTTACGATTACAAGGCCGCTTGGGCTCTTTTTAAAAAGTGAATTTCGCATCAAAGTGTACACACATTACAAATCCAGTCTTCGCAATGCTAAATTACTCATTGTCTCGGTGTTCATTTATATATCATATAAATAAATATATATAGATCACGTACTTTACGTAGTTAAACACCAGTGGAGATGTTACAGGAATTGCGGTTTTATCAATTACTACGCGGCTGCCACTTAGAAATAACTTTAAAAATTTTAAAAATGACCGGCTCTATGGATTATAAAGGAATGCAAGGAACTTGTGTAAAACATACTTGAATATGTGTAAAGAAATATTTATTCAGTTTACTTTATTCGTTACACAGGGAAATAGTTTCAATTTTGATAGAAAGCTGCAATTAATTATAAATAATACCTATTTTTAATGTTAAAAATATAAAATATTTTTGTGTTCCGAATTAACCTAACAGAATAATCGCTTTGTACACGTAAACTCTTCACTGCACATTTACCCCCAATCCTTATAAGCTAAGAATTCAGTCCGTACCGCAAAGAAAACGACTCTTCACCATTACAAAGTTGAGCTTGTTAATGCTGTTTAAGAATATAAACCCTGTTTACACTGAGAATCATACAAGACACATAAATACTACCAAACCCTCTGCAGGAAGTTCCTAGAAGATTAAATAAAAGCTTAAGTATCGGAATGCAGACTGAAAATAGACCTTTCAAAGACCGTACTGTGGTCACTGGTTCTCAGATTCAGCAGCGTAAGATCATAGATCATCCCTACAAGAATACTTTTTTTCTCAGTCTCGTGTCTCTAAAAATGTTTCTGCGTCGTGGAGAATTAATCGTGTCTTGGACCATACACAGAATAACTCCCCCTGTTTACATCTATCGTTAAAAGAAATCGTTACCTACTATCCAGACTCTCTGAATCAGACAGCTTACACATAAAATCTCCCAGGAATTATTTTTACGAAGGAACATTATAATAAAAAGTTAAAACGAAACTGAAGAAGGAGATGAGAGGTCATGGGTCATTTCTGAGATGTCTAATGAGTTGATTTATATGAGAACAGTCTTAATGTGGGATCGTTTCATTTCACCCTGAATTCGGAGTTCTAAGATCATTTATACCCTCTACAATTATTTATTTTAATCCGTCTTATCACAATATTTAAAATTTCTTATAATTAAGATAATAAAATATCATTGATGTTCCATATCGATTGATCGATTTACATCTTGGAACATTTTACACAACATGTTTCAGTTTTTATAAAACCATCATCAGGTGTAAAATATATCTAAGAACTTAAAACTCAATTATGATTCCATTTGGTGATGTTTTCATTGCGTTTGTTTTTCATTTTTGGGCGGAGATGTTAGTAAATCTAAAATAAAACATACCAAAGATGTAGGAGTGATTGTTCCGATATGTCCAGAAGTACTACTGTCTTCGTATATGTGAGGGTCAATACTGACTGTGGTTGCTTGTGGAATGAGTAAGTGAAAGGTGGCTGTCGGGGTTGGGGTTAATGAATGACCCTCTACAATGTCTCTCTCTGAGCGAATTTCAGTTTCATAAAATGTTGGAACCCTACTTCTGAAACCCCCTGTTACCTCCTTACAGTGCGTGTTTATGCGTCGCTTTCAAAGGAATGTTACTCTGATCTACGCAGCTCCATGGTCGTTGAAGGTCAGATCGAATTCTCAAAGATTACAGAATTTCTACAAATAATACACACCCGTGCACTGCTCTGATATATTTACCCTGTGAAAAATCACACCCTTGTTTCTCGCAAATTCTAAAATGGTTCCTGTGAACAATCATCTAACACGCTGTACCCAGCTAGTTTCGAACCCCTAACAATACCAGATCGATGCATGAAATAGAGGTAATTGTTTAATATCACTACGACTGGCAGCAAATCCAATCGCTTTTATGGAACCTGAAGGTTCATAAATTTTAACAAGAGCCCTCTACTAATAACTGTGCTGAGCCAGTTGAATCGGGGAACACCCTCACACCACATTAAATATTAATTTTAATATTATCATCCTACCCACGTCCAAGTCTTACAAATGATCTCTTCCTTTCAGGAATTCCGATTTGAATTATGCGTGCTATATGCCCAGCCCATCTCATCGTCACTGATTTCGTGTAATGCAATTTATGAATGCATTTTTGTCCAGTCATTTAATCCCTCCAACTTCCCAATCTTCTCTTGAGCATTCTCTTCAAACACTTCAGTGAGCTCAGGTTCCCGTTTTCTGTGTCCCTTCACCCTTGGGTCACAACTTTATCTCAGGTACTATTATTATTATTATTATTTAGTGTTCTGTCTGACGACAGGTCCATATGAACAGGATCCTTCCATCCTTTTCTCGGACTGGGACCTGTTCATATACGTTCTTGGCAGATGATCCAGAAGTGGTTTGCCATTGCCTTCTTCTGTGTGTGAATGGAGTAATTGTTGGGATGCCACGGAGGAAAACTTCGTGTTGCCTAGACCACGGCCTTGCCCAACACAAGTTATAAATTCGGGCACCGCCGGGAATCGAACCCGAGACCCCCCAGGATTACAAGGCCAGCGTTCTAACCGCAATTTTATCGGAAAATAATTCTTTAGTTTGGTGATGATAGTGATATATATATATGTTTGAGATATTTAACCGCGAAATCCTTCGGAACCCTTGCAGGCTTGGAGATTTCATTGTCTGGCGTTCTGTGGGTACACCATTCTGATTCTAAATCGTGACTTGACGTAACTGTTTGAAGGCCGTCACTTGGCATCCATACGCCCTACGCTTAGAATTATCAAACCCACATTACAGTTGAGTACGCCTCTGTATTATTACGTCATCTCTGGCTTCTTCATCAAAGAAAAAAAACTGGGCAATTACGTGTCAACGCACTGAAAAATGCTCCCGGAAGTTCATAATTTGTGTCAGAAATGTTCAAGAACTTGCTGGCTCCATTAAAGTTTGTAAAGAAATTATATGACCAATTGCTGTCCTCTTTTGCAAAGCACAGAGTATCTGAATATGTAGACTTGGTTTCGAGACTGCTATTTGATTTGCATCCTTGTCCCGGGGGAGAAAAAGAGGTAAATTTTGGGTAGCATCACCAATCTCCCCCGTTCAGAAATCGACTCTTTCCAACGCGTGCAGCCAACTGGAATGTGTTTCCTTCTCTAGCAAAACATAATTGAAAGCCAATTACGTAAAATTCGTTGGAGCAGACATTGAGAACGCGTTTACGCGACGAACACCAAACCCATAGCCAGGGGGCTTGAATTCTTGCCCACGAATAAAATCCTGCTCTTTACAACATGATTTGATGTTTCTGAACGCTGGACGTATCAAAACAATCCATCAGAACATTCTGAAGTTATCGTCCAGTTGTCCTGTTACGTTTGGGGACTTTGAAGGATATATTTTATGTTCTTGGATGATAATGGAAAAAGTCCCGACGTTTTCGACACAGTTTTTCTTCTCCGTAATCAGATAAAGATGTGACTGCTGTTAGCTGGTTTAACCGTCTTCAGCGCAATGGTAATTATACGTCCCACCTGCTTCAGTAATCAGTAGAACTTTAATTTGAAATTGTGGGTTTCATTCTGTAAGCAGCAATTATTCCCTTAAGCAGCGTTGACCAGTTTATCTTTTGTAAAGTGTGGTGTTTTCTGTGAGGTACGGACTGAATTCGACGATCTTCGGCTTAGCTTCAAAATGTTAAAAAAAAAAGGGTTTATTTTGTTGAGATGGGTTTACGTTTAAAGATTGCTTCCGACTGATTTGTAATCAATCGACTAAATAAATCTTTCTCTGACGAGCGGATAGCGACATTCACCAAAACGTCGGATTTCCTAATTGACGAGAAGATTTTTTTTTGTCTGTCCAAAGCGGTCACCATGAAAACTTAAAATCTTTTTGATGTTTTAAGTTAGGTCTAAGTACAATTCGTATTTTTATTTTGGAGATTATTTTAAAGTAATAACAGTAGTTGCTATGTTTCATACTCTTGTATGAGTCATTCTTAAAATTGGCTGTTGCATCTGGACACCTCATAATGGACATAATATTTATTCAGCAAGGACAACTTTTCAGCACGCCTTGTATTAGCAATACATTCACAGTCTTGTGTTAATCTTGTTATCAGTTTATGTACGCATTCTCTGAGAATTTGCTCCTTTCTAGCGAAGGGACTATTTTTAGATTACACGAATTTTGAAATTTCAAGGCTTAAAAATAAGTTTTACTACTAAAGCTACGCCGTCCAATAGTTTGTTTAGCCGTCGCTGTGAAACGAGAAACTGAAATTGTCTCACGCGGGCACCATGTTGTTTTTAATTTACATTCAACAAAGAAGGCATTGAAAGATGCATACGTTTAAAATCAGGAAATTTGAGTTTTCTGTATAATATTTCAACAGGTTTACAATTATTGCCATAGTTTTTAATAGTATGTTGTCAATACAAGATTTTCTAAAAAAAAAAATTGTCAGTTGATTCAAAAGTTACCATGGTTGGCACATAGACATAATGAAGCAGACGGAATATAACTCCGAGCTTGAGTTACGTCATAGTAAAAGGGGACTTGAAATTTAAGTGGAGAACTTTTCAGTGCAAATGAAAACATTTCCCCTCACCCTCCTTTAATTTCGACAAAGCCGGTTGAAATTATCTTTTATGGTGTTTAAATCACAGTGTATTTAGTGAACCAAAGGAACTTTTAAACACCTTGAATGCAGGAACACGTCTTAACCCCAGACTTCTATAACGCAATGTTATCATATCCGATAGTACAAAAGAGGGCTGGTTGTTCTGTGCTTATAAGATATTGATTCTCATGTGTGTGGATCAACGAAACTCGGACTTACTTTGCATTTCCTTGTAAAAATAAGGAAAATGTCTTCTCAAAGGCTTTATGGATTGTTGACAACCGTCTGTGAGTCCGAGATCCATAAAGCGTGTATTTTATAGCTCACGTTCTCAAACGGAAGTTGCGTTGTGTTTGAGGTGTGGTCGCTCGGCATTTGTTTGGGGTGCGTTCATAACGACTTCTATTTTCGAATCATTCTCGCTCTAATGCGCTTGCGTTTCAAGGCTGTACTCATTTTGAAGCTGCCTGACCGCGGTTTCTGAAACTTGTGAATAAAATACCTTCTCTTCATCCGGTCTCAAAACATGAATACGTGATTCTTTCAACTGTTGAACTCAAATGTACAGCGCTAAACCAGCGACTAGCGGCGGATAGTAAAGTCATGTGAAAATGTATAGATCGCTAAATCTTTACACTTTTCAACAGGACATTTATTTATTAGTTACCTTCAACCTACTAAATCATTTGTAAAATTCTAAAATCCTCTTCTCTTTCTGTTTCAGTGTCTGTAAGTTGGCTGAACTGTGAGCTTCCTGTTTGAATTTTACTGAATTCACCCTACACAGCGAAAGTTCCTTATCTACACCGTCAACGCGTTTAATGCGTGTAGTTCAAACTGACAGTCTCTCAGCTTACCAAGAAATTCTCCTCCACCTTTAATGTTACTTGGAAGTTCCATAGTGAGTTCAGATCAGCCCGCCATTGGACACCATGCTATACCAACCGTTTTTTGTGTTTCGTAGTCAAAAGGTAAGAGATTGGATTAACATGCATTCTGTATTAAGCTTGAAGTAATTTAATGTACTTTTACTACCATTATCATTCGTCACAAATGTCCCGTTTCCTTCCTGTCACACCCCAACGACACAACAAAGTTAGTGTTGAAGAAGACAGTTGAACTGCGTGTTGCCCAAACTCACGGTCGTACCAACCTATAAACACGTCAGGCGCTGCGCCTAGGGCCTACGAACAAACTTGTAACAAATACATAATACCATATATTCAGTTTTTGCTATCTGGGGAAAAGAAATGTTGTCCATCAGTCTACACACAAAAATCGACACACCCATAAGAATTCAGCTACCAGAGGGCCTCAAGACAGAAATGCCTTAATCCAGGCCTGTGAGAACGCATTAGAAAATAAATTATAATTTCCCTCGATTTGATAGCATGCTGGAGAAATCTCTGGGTGATAACATAATTTTGGGTATAATATTTAAGCTGATTCTTTCAATATCCTATATAATTTCCTTTGGTGTGTTGTATTGTGTCATATTGTTGGGCGTGGACCAGTTTATTCTACATTATTGCAGACATACGTTTATACGTCGTGTTTTTTTCACGTTCCTTTCAGACGCGATAAGTTGAACTTGTTTTCCGGTTACGTGGTTGACCGTGTCGAATTTATCTGTGGTGTGTGTAAGTTCTGGCCTGCGTTGTGCAGATTACTGATTACGGACATATTTTTCCAGTGCTTGGTAGCAGATCTGCTACTGAAATCCATTTGCTGTTTCAAGGAAATTTTCAGGAGTGTCGTGTTCGGTAAAAATTCAAAACTGTATTCCCTTTTATTCCGAAACGCGAATCAGGGATGAAGTCTTATTATTTCGTGGAAAACCGTCAGGTGTAAGGACAGAATTAAGTGTCGGTCTGCTTACCTTTCAAGCTACTTGCAACTGCTCGCCTCGAATTCACCCTCACACAATGGCCTCTTCCCAACAACTGACGCCGTGGGTAATGGGCGCGTGGAGTTGGATCTGACACACATTCAACGCGCATGCGTACCCGAGTTATAGGATGATTCATAATGAGCACCACGTAAACACGTCATTTTCAGAGAAATAAACTTTCAAAGTTCCACTGTAGAATATTTGGTGATCAAATTACACAAGCAACACCAAAGTTCTTTACGCTACACACTGCTAATTTATTTAAAAACAGTCCTGAGACTTGTGAAGCCGAAATTGTATCATCTTGCAGCATTTAGATTATTGATTCACCGAATTGTTTCCGACCTGAGAAAATAAATCATGCAAGCGTTAAAAGTCTGTCCATCAGGTACTTTTCGTTCAAGACAATTGTTTCATGAACGAGAGCAAAGCATTTTTGTTGCAGTCTTTCGTCGAGAAGACCAAATTGTTTGAAACGGTTAAACATTACGTCATAATTTCCGCTTTTAGTTTGTGACGTCATTAACGCTGAGTCGCGTTTTAGCGGTGACGTCATCTGAGTGACGTAATACGTGGGAAGCTCATGTGACGATGAGAGGACGAATGTGGAGGTTGATAAATAGATTAATAATTAAAATAAAATGCAAGGAAACATAAAATTACGCGTGCAGAGGACGAACCGGTTTTATTCAGGAATGAGTCAGTGGGAGAATGAGAAAACAATAGATAAAAATACTACAAACATTTCACCCACGCAAGATCACGCTATACGAAACAACATTAAATGTGATAACAAAGTACAATTGATCTAGAAGAGGATAAATGATATTTAATGGACATCTGACGAAGGATTGCATTTAGAATATTACATTTGAATTTATATCGATTATACACCTGAAGATGGTTCATTGAAAACCGAAACATGTCGTGAAAAAGATGATGCTCTAATTGTAAATCGAACATTTCGATAGAAAGAGCATCATTTTAATATATTTTAAATATTTTAAATATTAAATGTTAATTGTAGTAATAATATTTTAATATTTAATAAAATATTTTATTGTGATTAGACGGTTAAAATTAAACAAAAATACTAAAATGAAAAGTAAATTATTAATCAGATTAAGTTGCGAAAATAATAGATACGTGGACCGATTAATTCGTAAATAAAGTAAAATAAATGCCTGGAAGGAAATAATATAAGTAGCCCGAATTTATAACTTGTGTTGGGCAAGGCCGTGGTCTAGGCAACACGGAGTTTTCCTCCGTGGCATCCCAACAATTACTCCATTCACACACAGAAGAAGGCAATGGCAAACCACTTCTGGATCATCTGCCAAGAACGTATATGAACAGGTCCCAGTCCTAGAAAAGGATGGAAGGATCCTGTTCATATGGACCTGTCGTCAGACAGAACACTAAATAATAATTAATAAATATTTAATAAGTAAATAAATAAATAAGAGTTGGAAGGAGGGATAAATTAATGAAAGAATAAACAAATATATTTATAAATGACGAAGTGACAAACAAAGGCGAAAATAAAAGATAGACGGATGACTGAGCATATAATCCGTAAAAGATAAATCTCCATAGATTGTTCTTGGATCATTGTACGAATGTTGCAGTTTCAGTCTAAACTTTAGATCTGGTGTCATTTTGTGTAACATTCTGTACATCTAGTTATTTATTTACACCGTTGGTAGACCCTACTTAATTCATGTTTGCGGATTTACGTAGGAAATATTTCACGAGGGCTCAAACATTTTGATTCTCCTCGGTATCGCCAACTGCGTTTACGACCTGCTGTTAAACTGAGTCAAAATGTAGAATTTGAGGGTTTTTACGGCGGTGAGTCTGAACACTTTGAAATTCGGAATATTTGTATAGTTCAGCCGATCCCCCATGTAAGATAAATCGGTTCATTGAGTACAGTGTCGAACAGTGATTACCACTGCCCTGTAAAATCACAGAATGAACTCACAGATAAAGGAAGATGAAAAATAACAGCAGGGCTTCGCCCCCTCCGTGTCCTGCGCCAATATCATCCTGTACAAACATACGAAGTTCTTAATAAAGACTCGGAACTCCAGTCATTGCACTGACTAGCCTGAAGGAAATACATTTAACTATAGTTAATTTGTAATTATTTATTTTTAACTATATCGCCCACTAATTGTAATTGTTACGAAATTCAAGGTCCCTATGACCACCGAGATAAATTATCAGTCTCCATTTTATATTATATGGGTAATTGTTATAATTGAAACTCGGCAGTTTAGCAGCCATAATTTCATAAGAAATTATTTTTTTATAAAGACGAGGATTTTACTCTCTGACCTCGTGAGTGAACGTATCACACTTCACGAAAACAGTTAGTTTGGATTGTAGACTTTGGTTGTCGAATTATATACGAGGTGCGATCGGAAAGTTTCAAGACTGTGTCAATTGAGGGCGAACCGGATGTAGTACGAGCTTCTGCCTTTAGGGGGTGCGGCCTACAATCATAGTGAATCAGTGTGCCAGCCGGCATCATCGAATTAGCATTTGTTTCTTAGTTACGGGCGTTTTGGTAGTGCATTACACCGACCCTCCTGCGATTTCGGAATGGCGGATTTTCCGAGCGTTCTGGACGACCATCTTCGAGCACAACGCCCGAAACTGTTACGAAGATCGACGTCGTACCATCAACGACTTGTGCGACATTTTTGGGATAGGCTATGGGACCTGTCAGCTGATTCTAAAGGAAGAACTCCACATGCGACGCATCCTGTCTGAGGCCCAGAAGCAGAATCGACTTCTCGTTTGTCAGGAGTTTAAAGATCTTGCAAGAACCGACCCCAGCTTCCTTTCTAAGCTCCGTGTGACTTCTTCCTCTTCCCACAGATGACAATTCAGCTAAAGGGAAGGAGATTTGAGACGATAGAAGAGATTCAGGCAGAATCGCAGATGGTGCTTGACAGGCTGACAAAGAAAGATTTCCAGGGATGCTTCCAGGCTTGGCAGCGGCGCTGGGATCGTTGTGTTCATTCCCAGGGGAACTACCTCGAGGGTGATGGATGAATTTAATACCTGAGATAAATGTACGGGTTTTTATAGGCGCAGTCTTGAAACTTTCCGATCGCACCTCGTATGTTGTTTAAACGCAAAAAAAAATAATTCAACTTTTTGATATGCTTTTGTTTTACACTTGATGTAGAAATTACATTGTTTCGAATGGAACGTAAGGGATTAACGTTGCGCGAATCTATGAGACGCCGATCAATAAATCACAAAAAGTTTTATATTTCTAATTGGAAATAGTAATAATATAGTTTTGGCATTGGCTGTCACAGAAATATAGAGACGTGTACACGATAAGACGAAAGGTAATATTTTGCATGGACTGGTCTTCTGTCTTAAAGTTTCCTTATTGTTACGCGGTTTGATATTTTCTTATCTCAAATAAGTAAATTAACTAGGATTTCGTCTTCCATCCTCTCCTCAATTACCTTTGCATGACCCCGATATTTATCATTGTAATTTTTAAGTAGTAAAATTAGTTGTTTTTCTTACATTTTGTCAATTTTAACCTTATTTCTTCGAGGCCCCAGGCTGGCGTCTCATTCGCCTGTGCCAAAGCATGACCTTGCCTATGTAGATGATTTTTCGATATATGTAGCAGCGCGCCATCTCTATATTCTTAATAGAACGTCTTACTACGATCGCCATCTGGCGTGCCACAATAAGGTTCACTGTTCTATGCACACAATAGTTTCCTATGTTCGTCAGGAAATTAATGTTGCTTGTATCCCTTCAATTCATCGTTTATATTTATGTAAAAATTATTATACCCACACGTATTTTTACCCTAAAGATTGATTAGGTTCCTCTGAGACATAGTTTACTTACTATATTTCAAAATTATTCGTTGTGTGATTAGTAGTTACCCTTGTTACCGACTGTGCTACGGTCATGTTGCGTTTGTGTTTACAAGTGAATTGCTCACAGATAGCAGCACAATAAGCCCTGCGCCGTGTTGCTCTCTAATAACATTGTAGTTTCACTTCCGTTAAACGTTCGTGTGACAGTCGTCTGCTGTTCTTCTAAGTTTTAAGGTCGTGCCAGTAAGTTTTGTTCGTTACGAGTGACCATCCAACAAGTGTGTCTATGACAGTGTTGAACAGAGTTTCAGATCCTCCATCGTTTATGATTTGTTGGAAAAGAAATGACGTCTGGTACGGTGTTTTTTTGTCAGTTCGGAACTTAGGTGGTTTTCGAGACCAGTTCTCGCAGTTTCATTATTATATATATCGTCAACGATGTTGCAATAGACATGTGTTGTTCTAAGTTGAATCGTGGCAGTTTTAGAAGTGTTCTTTTTGAGCGAATACTGTGACTTCTTAATGTTTTGAAGAAATGCCGTGAATCTGCAGTATGTTGCATATTTTAGGTGAGTTAACAACACTTTCCGGCTGATCAACTGTGTGGTGTTTTACGATGCTTTAAAGCTACGTATCTAAATGCCACCAGTGTAGTCGTCTGCTGGCTAGTAATAGGTGACTTATCAGTTTTTTTCACCTTTTCAGAATAAACATTGTAGGAAAACCTGATGAACTTGTGACAACCTCCAAGTGTTTCTGTTTAATTTAAAGGCGGAAAATTTGTAATTTTAACCACCAATTCCATTTTCAAAACAGAAGTACACAAAATTTAGTCTTGGAATGTTTCAAGTGTCTCTTGAGCGAAAATATTCTTTCGTTGTTCCTCCAACAGAATAAAGCATCAGTCAAACCTTTGGGTCGGCAATGAGAGTAGCTGAGTTGCCGACAGAATTTGGCCGGCAATGGCGTTCTCTTTATTTGCCGATCTCGTTATTTTTCGAAAACTACTTTTCCGAAAATGATGTACCGAAATCGGTATTGGCGGGTAGGATCCTGACGAAGATCTACCCGATGTTTTGAGTATGTTTGTAATTGTTACCCGAATAATTATTTAGTTTTTGCAAAGAAATGTGTTTGCATCTGATTTACGCTTTTCAAAATACTGTCATCTCTGACTGCTGGCACCTACACATTGGGACTTTGATGTCAGAGATGTATGAAATAATTTCGTCCGTTGTGTATCGATTCTACTCCGAGAAATAAAAGTGCGTTGAAAGTACATTGTGAAATATGTCTTCTTAACATTACAGTAACTAAGCTATGCGCATGTGCAGAGGGACGTTTGTGGGTTTATCACCTGCTCGCCTCCAAGGTCAGTTTGATTCAATTAAAACAGATGAGATTTCTGGTTAAAGGCGACTGGATTTTGCTAGCCCAGGACAGGGACCGGTGGAGGACTTTGGTTAATTCGGGTTTCCTAAGCCATCTAGTTAGTTGGTTCGTCATTTTGTTAGTTGGTTGGTTGGTTGGTTAGGTAGTTAGAGATTTAAGATTATCACTGGAACTAATATGGAGATTGCTGAATTCTCGAATGTTGAGCCGTGTAGTCTGCTAGAAATTAACAGACATTTCACATGTGTATACTGCCTCCATCATCAGGACGATTTCTCCAATAATGGAGGCCAGCTTTTTACTAGACTTTACATCGCAGTATCCCAGAAGAGATTAATAATGAACTGGTAAACGATATTGTAATTTTTTTTTAAATGATCCCACTTCTCCATTACAAAAATTAGTTTGTCGGTGTCAACTAAATCAGTGGTATTCAACGTGGGGCACGTGAAATTTAAAGAAAAATATTATTTTACGATAAACACTGAATAATCAGTAATGTAATTTATTTAATTTATTTTAGATGTAGATTATATACTATGTATAACTTGAATTATACACCAAAAACTTTGGGGGTACAAAGTTGAAGAGAAATTATATCTGGGGGTACGCGGAGACATCTTAGGGGGTACGTGAAATTTAAAAAAAAATATATTATTTTATGATAAACACTGAATAATCAGTAACGTAATTTATTTAATTTTTTTTAGATGTAGATTATATACTATGTATAACTTGAATTATACACCAAAAACTTTGGGGGTACAAAGTTGAAGAGAAATTATATCTGGGGGTACGCGGAGACATCTTAGGGGGTACGTGAAATTTAAAAAAAAATATATTATTTTATGATAAACACTGAATAATCAGTAACGTAATTTATTTAATTTTTTTTAGATGTAGATTATATACTATGTATAACTTGAATTATACATCAACAACTTTGGGGGTACAAATTTGAAGAGAAATTATATCTGGGGGTACGCGAACAAAAAAGGTTGAATACCACTGGCCTAAATAATCCCTGCTTATGCTGGGAATCGTACATAAAAGATCCATAAATAGAATGCAGTTGCTGACTGTTAAAGCAGGTGGTACATGTGCCACTGGGGTTTAAAAGGATAAGTTAATAACTTAAACAAGAATGTCACTGCAGAATAGCTCTGTTGGACGACTTAAGTCGTGTTGACAGTTTTGAACACTTGTGCGATCCTCGTTAAACACTTTAAGTTTACTTATCCACCTACGCACTTACCGTGGTGATATCACTAATGTGTTTACTTACAGAAAATGCAGACGTAATTTGTTGACGTGAGATAACATTTTAGGTCGCACATTCTGTGGCATTGATGTGCCAAGTGTTCGCATTCTAATGTATTTTAAAGACACGTCCACACACACTTTATTTATTCGTGTATGTTAATGATTTTTTTTTTCGTGCCCGCAATGATAACTGATAATTACAAAGGATTTATCACATTAAATATTTTATGATTTTTTTTTGGGTTGATCAAAATTGATAAAGGGAGAAGTGATTCTATAGCATTATCTATGTCTCAGCTTTAACAAACATTTCGGTTCTAAATTTCTAATCAGAATCGGTTAAGCGAGAGCGAAAGATGGAAATGACTCCATAAAAGACGTTTCAGAGGTCATACTGCCTCCATCATCGTGGCGTTCTTTTCATACGTACATAGATACATCCTGCCCTGTCATGTACATCCGGTAATACTTCTCGAAAATATAATATTACATTGTATTCTGCTCTGAATTTCATTATCTCTTTGACGTTGAAGCTTATCTCAATAATCCTTGCCCTGATAATGGAGGCAGCAGTGACTTCTGAAACATCAGTAAATTTCTACAAGAAGGAAGCCATATTTGTAATCAGATCATGCATTTAAAGAGAATTTAAAATCTTTTTTAAAATAGTGTAGTTGCGTCATATTGTGATTTATTAAATTAAAATTAAATAATATAATTAAAATAATTAAAATATTCTGTGTTCCATATCGAATAATCGATTTACAATTGGAACAGTTACAACATGTTTCGGTTTTATTAAACCATCATCAGGTGTAAAATTATATTAAATTTAAAACTCAATTACAATTTTTTTTACAATTTTTCGTAGTGTAGTTTTTTTTTGGAGGTCGTGTCCAGATATTTTCATATAATGGATCAACTTTATTGTTTGAAGTGATGCTTTTGATGTTTACATCGGTCTGTGAAGTTAAATGATTCTAAGAAACATTAATGAATATGGATGAATATAGAAAACAATTAAATAAATAAATAAGTAATATTTAAATATCCGGTCCTTACCTCAAACAAAATACAACGCGTGTTACAAAGATCAGTTGGTTAGATTTATTTTGGGAAATTGTCGCTGTTTGTCTTGTTTTTTCTTTCTTTCTTTCTTTCTTTCTTTCTTTCTTTCTTTCTTTCTCTGAGAGTGATTTGAAGCTTATAAATGCAGAGTTGCCTGTTGCTAAATCACGTATTGAATGAAGTTACCGCTGAGTTTTAGAGGGTTAAACCCGAATTTAACTCGAGTCAAAGCAGGAATTTCCAGTACTTAATAAAATGGATCAAGGAAGGTTGTGGCGTGTCAGTCATGAGGATGCAAGGAGGAATCCAAGACAGTGTTAACATTTCAGCAACGGAAAGGGAGTGAATGGACTTGAGAAAGAGCTGAAGACATCAAAAATGTTGCTCGCCGGACAGATGTAACAGAATTTATATTTCTGCACTGACTGAAGATGGTAACAGCTTCCGTAACAAAAGCGGAAATGCAGAGCAGAGTCCTTGGGAAGCTGATAGGCGCTCAGGTAGTCAGTAGATTCCCAATCTTTTAAGGAATCTGTTGGTCCCTGTCCTGGGCCAGATGAATCCAGTCCACGTCCCTCTGCCGTGTTTCTTTACGATCTATTTTAATATTATTTTCCCCATCTTATACTTATATCTTCTAAGTGGTATCATCCCTTAAGTTGTTTAAGTAAATCTTTCATTTCATTTCTTGTATCAGACATGCGTGCTGCATGCCTTACCCATTATTATTTATTTATTTAGTGTTCTGTAATATGTTTTTATCCGTCACGGTGGTCTAGCGGTTAGAACGCTGGCCTTGTAATCCTGGGGTCTCGGGTTCGATTCCCGGCGGTGCCCGAATTTATAACTTGTGTTGGGCAAGGCCGTGGTCTAGGCAACACGGAGTTTTCCTCCG